GGGTACTCCATGTGAGGTGGACAAGGAGAGATGCTGAACATATCGGCACAATGCAGGAGAGCAAGCAGACTGGTGCTACCTCACTGAGCCGATCAGTGCCCAGGATACAGAACATAGTGCCGTAGTTGGCCTCCTCCCATTCCATCAGCCAATGGTGTGCTGCGTACAATCTCATACTGGCAAACTTGTGCAAGCTGTAGTGGCATACTGCATTTTCATTGTGTGTAGTACGGTATTCATCCACTGATGAAATACATACAGTACTTTATTTTGATTTAATATTCTTTTAATATGTTGGAATTAACATTTTTTATATTTTTATGTTGCTTTAAATTTTTTAGTAAAAAATAATTAAAATCATAAATATTATATAAACACCTATATGCCACAAAATCCCATGATACAGCAAAAACTCTGCAATACAGAATTAGATATATTATTTTTTAAAAAACCTGCAGTACAGTGAAGCTGCAATAAGTGAACTGTGATGTGGCAAGAGATGTGATGTAGCAAGAGGAGACTATATATATATATAGAGAGAGAGAGAGAGAGAGAGACAGACAGACAGACAGCCAGAGAGAGAGAGAGACAGACAGAGAGAAAGACAGACAGACCTAAAGCAACCATTCAAAAACTATACATGAAGCAAATGGAATTCTAAAAATTGTTCAAATAACTCAGGAAATCAGGAAAAAGAAATAGAAAAAACATGGAGAACAAACAGAAAACAAAATCTGACAGGAATATGAACATCAGTAAGTATATTAAGTGGAAATGACCTAAATGCACACAATGAAAGGCAGACACTGGTAAAGAAGACAAAAACATGACCTAATGGTATGTTGCCTAAAATGTAATGATTTAGAAAGGTTGAAAGTAAAAGGTTGGAAAAAGATATATCGTATATATATCAACTTAAATAATAGCAAGGGTACTCCAGCAATATCAGATAAGGTAGACTTTAGAGCAAAGAAAATTCCCAGGGACAGAGAAGGACATTATATTATGATAAAAGGATCAGTCCACCAAGAAGGCAGAGTAATACTAAATATACGGTACCCCAGACACCAGAGGTACAAAATATAGGAAGCAAATGTTATTAGATCTGAAAGAAGCAAACAAATTCACATTTCTAGCAGAAGATTTCAATATTCTCTCAACAACTGATACAACACTTAGATATCAAATCAGCAAGATACAGGAGAATTCAACAACAGAATTCAAAAGAATCTAACTAGCATTTATAAAACACTTCACTCGCAAACAATAACATTTATATTCTTTTTAAGAATCCAAGGTGTACCAACTTATAAATATTTTGGACCATAAAACAATCCACAAATATTTCACAGAATCAAAGCTGGGTGGTGCAGGCCTTTAATCTCTGCTATTTGGGAGGCTGAGGCAGGAAGGTTACAAATTTGAGGCCAGTCTATGCAGCATAGCAAGGCTTTGTCTCAAAATAATGTAAAAAAGGGGCTGGGGATATAGCTCAATGGTGGAGACTTACTACAGATCCTGTAGATGTGAAAAGGATAAGAGGATAAGAGGGTACTATGAGCAGCTCTGTCCATGTAAATAAAGATATTTAAATGACATGTACGAATTACTCTAAAATCACAAACTACCAAAATTACCTAATATCAAAAATCTGATTATCATTATAATTATGAAAAAATAATTTTTTAAAATCCTGAAATGAAAGCTCCAGGCCCATACCGACTCACTAGAGAGTGACCACCATTGTGTAAAGATGAACTAATGCTACATAACCTCTTTCAGAAAGAAAAGAAGGGAACATTTCCCAGCACATTGTATTATCCTAAAAGTAAAGACAAAGATAGTCCCAAAAAGAAAATTACAGACCAACATTTCTTACAAAAATAAATAGAAGAATCCTGAACAAAGTTCTAGTCATTTGTAAAAAGTATTATGGGGCCGGGGATACAGCTCAGCGATACAGCCAGCACCTGCCCAGCAAGTGTGAGGTCATGAGTTCAATTCTTGGTACAAAAAAAAGAAAAGGAAAAAAAAAGAATTGATCAAGGATAGACCTATGGGCCAA